CAGGAAGTAAGTGCGCAAGACTGTCCCAGATCTTATAAAAGCCAGAGCGCAGTGCCCTTAACACACACTATCGGCTTAGTGTATCCCATCATGCATCATGTTGTGTAAATAAATCGTGAGACTTTTTGCTCGTGAGAGGTCACGGAAACCTTTCTAATGGGTGTGAAATATTGATAATAATTCGATATTACATATAATTTGGTAGTAAAACAAAGAGTTGCATGTTTTATTGGTGCAAATGAGTAGTGGTGATAATTATTTTGTACAACATTTGCAACTGCTTTTTATCACTAGAAGCACCACAAAGTTAAATTGTGTCATCTGTTATAGGGACTACTGAACAGACATTTAGAAGTTGATTTTAAAATGCAAAGTATTGAAAATAAAAATAAAGCTCTGTAAACACTTGCATTTTTACAACACTCTACACTTCTACACACACTTGTGGTCTTCATGCTCACTTGAACACTTGGACCAAATACAGGAAATACGTCATAGAAGTAGTCAAGTGGTCAAGTGCAAAGACTGCAAGTGTGGGTATTTGGACAAAGCATCTGTGAGCAGCCCACACTATGGGACTGTCCACATTAATCCAATGATGGCCTGGTGTGGGCCAGACATGAGCCGGTTAATAAGAATTTTGTGGTCAGTTTTCCTCTGAGTGTTTTAGGTTTCCTTAAGTAAAGCCATGTGGTAAAGAGAGTTAGCAATAGCAAGAAGCAGTAGCCATCATGGCTCACCTGCTGAACACATGTATGTATGGCCTATGTTTGGATTGATGCTAAGAGTTAAGAAGGATGCTAAGAAGAACTCTTTATTGGTGAGGTTACCACATCATGGTCCAGTTTGAATATGGATTTAAAGTTCTTTAACTTCCATTAAGATCCAGTCTGGACTATTTTTTTATTGTTCCTGGCTAGGAAGAGTGGTGTGTTTTTATTACAAGAGGTTGGATTATTAATTTGCTATCAGCCAACTTCAGCTATGGACAGTGTTTGGCCATTGATGTAGGCTACTACAGATGAGACTTTTGCACACAATCTTACATTGCTTTGTTTTTTGTACTTTTGTGTATTTAAATTTTTGACTATGTTGCTGTATTAACCTGAATTTAATGTTTTATATTTTGTATTTAATAAATCCATTGATCTGAAATCCCTTTGACTACTGTACATTTTTGACAATACAGACATTAGTTATGTGGTGACTGCATCCATTTCGGATGTATTAGGGTTGCACAATTAATCGAATGGATGCCACAATTACGTAATCGTTCAATGCACTTCAGCTATGGACAGTGTTTGGCCATTGATGTAGGCTACTACAGATGAGACTTTCGCACACAATCTTACATTGCTTTGTTTTTTGTACTTTTGTGTATTTAAATTTTTGACTATATGTTGCTGTATTAACCTGAATTTAATGTTTTATATTTTGTATTTAATAAATCCATTGATCTGAAATCCCTTTGACTACTGTACATTTTTGACAATACAGACATTAGTTATGTGGTGACTGCATCCATTTCAGATGTATTAGGGTTGCACAATTAATCAAATGGATGCCACAATTACGTAATCGTTCAATGCAGCAATTAATCGTTCAAAGTCCACTTGTTATTCTGCACGCTTAAGATATGTTTTTTCTTTCTACATGTTATCTTAAGGGGTTTTCCATTGTTTTAGTTTTAGTATAACATTATAATACCATTCATATTTTTACTTTATTTATAATTTAAAGAAGAAACCAACCCAATGTATATTTGACATTTGAGGCTTAATACCGTTACTATAGAAAAGCACTAAAGGTTTTTCAGTTAGTGTTTTCAGCTTGCTTATTTTCATATAAAAATACGGCATGCAGTTGCATCAAACAATGGTATAAACATCATTCAATGTAAATTGTGGTAATCGTAATTAATAATCGCAATTACAATTTCAAGGGAATAATCGACAATTATGATTTTTGTCATAATCGTGCAGCCCTATGTATACTAACTGATTTTCCCAAAGACTTAAGTTATAGTAGCTGAAAAGTATTTAAAGTGAAACAGATGTATTGTTATAGATCAGGGGTGCATCTTGTTCCTGGAGATCTACTTTCCTACAGAGTTCAGTTCCAACCCTGATTAAACAAACCTGTCTGTAATTATCAAGTGCTCCTTCAGGGGCCCGTTCTTCGTACGTCGCTAACTCTGTTAGCTGGATTTGATTGTTGATGATTTGGCATGATCTTGGATTGTTTGGTTCTTCGAAGCTCATCCCGGAGTTTCTTTTTAAGCAGAATTGATACTTAAAATCTGTCCGCTACCACTGCTACTTTAGTACAAGAGTATCCTACTGATCCAGGGACAATAATTTAAAATAATAATCATTTAAAAATGTATTTAAAGATAATATAATAATGTTGTGTAGTCTTTAATACTATAGACAGTCAGTTTTACTCACTGAAATATTTATTTGTCATAAAATTATTACTTTACATTATCTGTATAGCATGTGTGTAAGACTCGAATACAATTATAGAGTCGTGCATTAATTTGAGTGATGACAGCTATTATGGGAGTAGGGCCCCAGATCCTAATTAGTTGGTTCAGATTGGCCCTGTTGTAGATTAATAGTGTGGGCTAAGTGAGGGCTGCCCGTGCAGGGCCAGAACTAAGGGGCCAACGTTTTGCCAATGAGCAAAATCTCAGAGGCCCTGCTCTGGCAGCCCGCTGGGGACTCTTAGGCTAGCCCTAAGTGGGCCCGTAAAGGGCCAGTGCAGGTTTGTTTGCAGGGTTCAGTCTACAGTATCACAAGATCCTTGTAAATGTCTTTACTGTCACTGCATCCATGCTGAATAAAAGTATTCATTTCTTTTTTTTTTTAACCTTACTGACCCCAAACTTTTGAACAGCAGTGTAAATAGAAGGCAGCTCACTAGATTTTAAAACAGACCCCTAGTCATGTCATGTCTCTTTTATGTGGTCAATTATTCAGCTGTATTTATATGTGAATGTGTTGTCATAAAAACACTTTATAATTGATAAGATGAGAAAGCCAAGGCATTACATGCAGGAATGAGCACAGGAGATTTGAGGACACGAGCTGAGAGAAAGCAAAGATAAGACGCCTCATTCATCTCTGACTCACAATTCCCAAGTTCCTCAATGAAGATCCATTAATAAACATCACACAAGGGAGAAGATGAAAACATACCAAACAAAAACAACACAGCATACAGCTAACACTTGTCTCAATCTCCCATAGTTCTCAGGGATGATTTCCGCCAGCCTCCCAATGATGTGGTGGTGGCAGCAGGAGAACCTGCTGTGCTGGAGTGCGTCCCTCCCAGGGGTCACCCCGAGCCTACCGTTTCCTGGAAGAGGAACAATGTTCGTGTCAATGACAAGGACGGCAGGATCTCTGTGAGTCAATAGCAGAAAGTGCAATGTTGGCACAGGAGTGATGATTAGGTTGTAGTGCAGCAGTGACATCACTCTACCCCTCTGCAACCAGCATCGATTGAAACATAAATCAGTGCACTGGATCACGTCCTGTTCTCCACCAACATTGACATCACTGCCAAAAGCAAATTGTCTAAATGAAAGGTGCACTTAGCATTAGTCTGTTTATGTTGTGCTGGTTACCAGTGTTGTTACAGCTAAATCTAAAACAGTTTTTGTTCTTTGAAAAAAAAAAAAATATATATATATATATAAAAATACTAGATGAAAAATGTTCATTTAAATAAGAAATGTTGCTTAAGTTTAAGTACTAAAATATCTAAAAAATAAATAAATAATAAAGTTAAGAAATATTTAAAAAACTAAAATAATCACAAATAAAAACAATCACAAAACAAAATGATGAAAATATGAAAATAACAGCTAAAAATAAAAGCTATAAATACTATAATAGTATATAAATAACAGAGCATGTGAGCGAAGCGGAGTGACGCTCCGCTACGTTTTCCGCTCTATGGACGCGCGCCGCTCAGTCGCTCTAACCGCACAAGCAAGCGCTCCGTTAATATTCCCTCTCACGCTCGCCGTAAACCAATTCCCGCTCAGATCCCGCTCCGACATAAAATTTCTCTAGTAGGCCTAATTGTTTACTGTTTGTAACGAAATTCTTGGATTATTGTCTAAAATTAAGCATGCTGATAAATAGCAATTATCATGTTTCAGAGCGAAATTCTTACATTCTTCTTAATTTTATTAATTGTAATGTATTAATTAACATTTATTAAATATATGAATCTAACCTTAGCAAACCTACCTAAAATGCAAAAACTGAAAAAGTGTATTTGATTTTCGTTAACTTTATTTCCATGAAAATAGCTGCAGTTGTTGTGCAATAGAACATTCAAAACAGGCTCATTAAAACACAAACGCACACACACACACGAGATGAAATGTGCGTAGATCTTTACAAAATACACCTGGATTATAAAGTCTGTGAAAAGCACACACAAGATAAAATGCACTTAAAGAACGCTTGGACTATGAACTGACATCAATGAAAGAGAAACACTTTCTAGTGTCAAGTTAAAATAAACCATAACTGTGGGGAACTGTAGTCCATTAAAACATCTCTTGATGTTTACTGGATTTTAGAATTTACTTTAAGAAACATTAGCTTGGACAAAGCGTCAAGCTTCAGCATTCGGTGTGCCTGAAAACACTCGCTCAGCGCTGGAAGAACCACTGGGGATGCTGAAGATTTTGCAGGTGACCTTGGCTAGTTGAGGGAGAGATCCAGCACTGGTTTTCCAAAATCCAAGTGGTGTAGGCTAATATCTTCTGTACTCCGACGTCAGCAGGTTTTATTATTTTTTTAATTAATTTATTATTATTTATTAATTTTAAGCAATAATGATTTTAATAAGTAATTACGAAATATAATAATTCGTTCCACGATTTAGGCCTACTATAGGGAA